TCAGGGGCATGAGCAGGACGTTTCGGCGCAGGCGGCAATGAGGAAGAGGAACAGGGAGGGGCCCTGGCAACACGTGTTGGGGAACCTTGTTGGTCGACAGACATCCTGGGCTCCTCCGACTGGGACCGAGGTTCACTGGCAACACCAACAGGAGCATAGCCAGACATAACGATACCCTGGAGGTCCCGCAACGCCTGAGCAAGCTTCTTGTCTCTCTGCACTGCCTGGGAAGCTGCGAAGACATCCGCCACAGCTGAGAGATCTGGGGGCGTGAATCCCCCAGGGACTGGCTCGCTCGAAGGGAGATCTTGCAACTTAGACTGCCACATAGCCATATCCTGGGCGACCCGCTCCTGACGAGAGCAGGGGGCGTCCCTTTCGCTCTGAAGGTCCAGGATCTTGCGATCGAACTCACGGATCTGGCTAGAGATCTTGTCAAACTTCTTACTGGCCCAGTGATGACGCTGCTTGTAGAACGAACGCTTCTGGGGAACGGTAAGCAAGTCGGACTTTTGTGCTCGGAGATGCTGCAACTCATCCTGGAGACCCAATACCTGATCACGAACGTATCTGGTCGGCGGAAGCAGGCGGAGGGAGTCCAGCTGGCCCAAAAGGGCCTTGATAATCTGATCAATCTGCGCAACCGAGAGCTCATTGCCATTTGTGTCGACACAGCCGCCATCAACATCGTCGTCGACATAGTCAGCCCAAAAACCACGATCGCTGCCAATACCGTCGTCGCTAGAGTCATATCCGAATCTATCCTGCACTTCCTCGTCCAATGGAGCCTGAAGACGTTCATCCAAAGACCGAACTGGGGGAGTGGCAGTACCGTCAACATCATGACGATCATGGAAACGAGCACGGGGGGGAGACAAGACACGATCACTGCCACTGCCTTTGCTCCTGCCTTTGCCGTCGTTGTCGCCTTTGCGACAATGCTTTCCTGGAACCTGTCCTTTGGAGCGGCCAGGAAAAGGGGTACTGCAGAACTTACACTTCTGGCGGGGGCTGGTGTCGGGGATCCACGAAGTCTTGCCAGCATCGCGACAGACGAGACAGACGAGATATCCCATGGCGCGCCCCGTGCAGCTCAGTGGACGGCACACGCGCCAGAACCGTCCGAGCCTGCCGCACGGCTGCGGACAAGCTCGAAGCCTCGCGGCAAGGTTTCGAACTTGAGCCAAAATGGCTACGGACAGAGCCTGCAAACTCCCGGGGAGCTCCAAGGAGATCCTGGGAGCCTCCGCAACCCTAGGCACCAAAAACTGAATGGGCAGACTCACTACTGCCCACCCCGCCCCCAGCCCCCTTAGCCGTGAAGGAAACGTATCCTGAGGGAAACGGGTCCTCAGGTTTTTTTTGTATCTTTTGTGGCTCCCCAGGGTCCTCCGCGGGCCCTGGGGCCTTGTCAAAGAGTAGCCCAGGACGAAACACTGGTCCTGGGGAGATAGAGGAACAAAAAAAAACATAAGCATAAACTGTTGGAGGTCCGCGCGGATTTCTTGGATCCGCGCCAGGCCTACCTCCCAGCGCGGATCCCAGGATCCGCGCTGCCCCTGGCGCCCTCCGGCGCTGCCCCTGGCGCGCGGAGCGCGCCAGGGGCAGCGCCGGAGGCGCCGCCAGGGGGACCCAGCGCCGATCCAAGAACCAAGAATCCGCGCGAAGCGCCAGAAGTTCATGTTAATGGCGTTTTTCTTTTCCTAGGAAAGGCTCCGGGGTCCAGAACCGGTTTCTCACAGGGCCCGTTTCGTTCCTGCTGTGCGAGGCGGGGATGTATCCGTATCCACCGCCTGGGAACCGACGTCCTGGTGCTCCAGCGGGCGGCGGATATGGATGTATTCTGGCCCACGGGGGCCCGAATCTGTACGTGTATATATATATATATGTATATATATATATATGTATATACACACACACATCCGCCGCCTGCCGAGGTCCTCGAAATTTGATCCTCCAGGCGCTGGTCACATATAAGTTCCCGCCTCGGACTGCCGAGCCACCGAGCAAAGCTGGCCCGAGCAACGGCGCTCGGCGGTCACCCCGCCCACCTTGGCACGGCGGCACGGGGGAGCCACGGATCACGTGGCTCCGCTACGACCTCGCAGCGACCCGAAGAATGCCAGAAGGAGCTCGGTGCTGCCAGAAAGCGCCCGCGGCGACCCATATATCGGGCTGGGCGGAAGGGGGGGATAGCAAAGGGGGGGTTTGAGAATCAGCTCACGTAGCTGCTTTTCCCAGCGCCTCCAGGCGCCGGAGGCGCCCATGTATCGAGGAATGGGCCTGGCGGCGGGGCCGAAACCAGCTGCATGCAGCAGATTTCGTAACCCCTCCTTTCCTTATCCCCCCTTTCGTTCGGCCCGAGAAGAATGCCACAGTGACCCCAGTCCCGCCAGAAAGCGCCCGCCATGACGCATATACCACGAGATCTCTCGGCGCGCGCGTCGCCTCTGGGTGGGCGGCGCACGCAGTAGCATGCTGGGGTGGCACCGATGGTCGAAGAAACCATTGGGAGGATGGGGAAGTCCTCCTCCGCCTCCTCCTCCTCCGCCTCCTTCTCCTCCTCCTCCGCCTCCTCCTCCTCCTTCTCCTTCTCCTCCCTCTCCTATCTATAGTAATGGTAGTGGGAAATCGGCCCATCAAGACAGTCCTCCCATTCTCCTCCACCCCTGGGGAAACAAGATAGCCACTCCGCTCCGCCCCGGACCTCTCCCGGGGTGCGTTCTGACCAGAATGTCGAAGCGACTCCAGCCGCGGTGACGAGGGAAGGGCACCGGTATCGGTCTCTCTCCCTCCTTGGAGCCCCGTCGCGGCGCACCCAAGGCAACCAGAGACCGCCCCGAGGAGCAGAGAGACAGAGAGCGCCACAGCCGCAGCGCGGAGCCTCGGGCAGGGGAGCCCCGAGGCAGCACCAGCGAGGCGAGGCGAGGCGACTCCCAGTTCGCCCGCGAGGGCGGCCGCGCGCGGGGCTGGAAGTGGGCGCCGGGGCGAAACTGATTCAGTCGAGGGGGCGCATGATTCTGCTTACGCGGTGCACGTAGCCATCCCCCAGTTGTGGCCACCACTCGCTTGCCGACGCAAGGCCTTGCTATTTGTCCCCGCACGCTGTGCGAGCAAACTGTGCCACTAGGGAGAGGGGGAAGGAAAGAGCGGACGCCGCGCCCACCAGCTGCGGCTCAGGCTTCCCCTGCCGAGTCCCAAACTGACTACCTACCAAACCACCGAAGCCCAAACCCGAAGACCCGGATTATTTCGGGAGGAGGAAGGGAGCGCGTTCCACCCGTGTTTTCTCAGAATGCTCCCGGACCCCCCCTCCCACTGGGAATGGAGAGCAAATTTGGACCTTCGGTTTGGGTTGGGGTGGATTGGTGTCGGCGGTGGACAAGCCTTCCTTTAGTAAACCTCCCCTTAGTGAAAACGGCCTGGAACCGAAACCGACGGACCTGGACCCGCAAAAACGACGGCCGAGACGCCATCTCGCGAACCGAAAAAGGCCAATTCGCTAATCGACGCGTCAGGGTAGGAGGTTTATCAACCTCCGATGGTGGGTGGTGACAGACTGTTACGCTCGCCATCGGCGGCGCTCGGGAGGGGGAGCACCTGCTGAGGCCTCGGGCTGCGCACGGGCAGCCCCCCCGAGGTGCCCCCCGAGCAGTCACGGCTGGCCTTAGGTCGGGCATGTCCCCCTACGGGAGGTCTTGCGACGAAAAAAAAATACCCCAACAAAAACTCCAAAATGATCAAACATACTCAAAAACATCGTCCCCATACTAGTGTTTGACTCGTTTGAAATTTCCCCCCTGTAGAGGGACAGGCCCGACTTAAGGCTGGCCTCCACAGGCCTCGGGAGCAGTCCTGGGCGGTCTCGAGACCCTGGCGCCGCCTCCAGCGGGGCCCCTGGGGCGCTGCGCGCCCCAGGAGGAGAAGGACGAGGAAGGGGAGGAGGGGGAGGAGCAGGAGGAGGAGGAGGAGGAGGAAGAGGAGGAGGAGGAGAAGGAGGAGGAGGGAGGAGGGGGGGGAGGAGGGGGGGGAGGAGGGGGAGGAGGAGGAGGAGGAGGAGGAGGCGGAGGAGGAGGAGGAGAGGAGGAGGAGGAGGAGGTGGGGAGGAGGAGGAGGAGGAGGAGGAGGAGGAGGAGGAGGAGGAGAAGGAGGAGGAGGAGGAGGAGGGGGAGGACGGGGGGGGGGAGAGGAGGAGGAGGAGGAGGAGGAGGAGGAGGAGGAGGAGGAGGAGGAGGAGGAGGAGGAGGAGGAGGAGGAGGAGGAGGAGGAGGAGGAGGAGGAGAAGGAGGAGGAGGAGGAGAAGGAGGAGGAGGAGGAGGAGGGGGAGGAGGGGGGGGAGGGGGGGGGAGGAGGGGGGGAGGAGGGGGGGAGGAGAAGGAGGAGGAGGAGGAGGAGAAGGAGACGAGGAGGAGGAGGAGGAGGAGGAGGAGGAGGAGGAGGAGGAGGAGCTGGAGCTCCGTAGCCATTTTGGCTCAAGACGGCAGCCCCCCCGCCCAGCGGCGCGGGCAATCATGACCCGGCGGCGCGATGCTGCTGGATCCATCCCCGTGCGTCATGGGGCCGCACTGGCGCACGTGAGGGACCCCCAGCAGGCGGCGCTGCTGATGCGGGAGCTGCAAGGCGGCCTGGACCAGGCCTGCAGGACAGGGACCTGCTGCCGTGAAGTCCTGGGCGGCCAGGCCCAGCGGGTCTTGGGGGCTGCCACGGCGCTCGTGGCGACCGTGGGTGGCAGCACCCTTGCGCAAGGCCTGGCTCGCCTGCGGGACGACGGCCAGCGGGTGCCACCCCACCTGGTACGCGCCTGGCGCGAGCTGGATGCAGCCAGCGCCCTCATCCGCCATCCTGGCGCGGCGGAGCGCATCGTCGAGGTCGCGAACTCCTGGCTCATGCAGGCGGTGCCTGTCAAGTTCGCCGACGAGCCTCACGACGCGGCCTCCGACGAGGCCTTCGCCTCCACAGGGAGCGTGGGCGCAGTGGCTACGACCGACATCAACGCGGAGAGCGACATGTGCGACTCGGACCCCGAGGACGAGCTGCAGAAGAGAGTGAACGACAAGAAGGGCGACAAGACCCAGATGGTGCAGGACATGAAGAAGATGAAGGCCGGTTTCGGCTACAAGAGCCAGCAGGACATGAACGACAGGCTGCTGAAGCTGGAGGTGGCTACGACCGACATCAACGCGCAGAGCGACATGTGCGACTCGGACCCCGAGGACGAGCTGCAGAAGGGAGTGAACGACAAGAAGGGCGAGAAGACCCAGATGGTGCAGGACGTGAAGAAGATGAAGGCCGCTTTCGGCTACAAGAGCGAGCAGGACATGGACGACAGGCTGCTCAAGCTGGAGGTGAAGAACGTCGTGGTGACGAACATCGTCTCCGAGGGGCCTGCGGGGAGCTCCGAGGGGACGGCTGATCACAGCACCGACGAGCGTTGCAGCCTCGACGGCGACCCGCACGCCGGCGTGAATGCCATCGATCGCACGCCGCTCGCCGGCACCGTCTGCAGCACGCAGTGTACAGCTACGCCCTCGGACACAGCGAGTCAATCGAGACTCCTCGAGTACTTGACGAACCACGAGGCCGCCCTCCTCTCTGGGTGCAGCGAGGGCCACGCGGCAGGTGTCCCCCCCCCGTGCCTCGACACCAACGCCCTCGGCATGTGGAATACGATGGGCGTCTTGGATGAGGCGTCCCTGGATGAGGCCGCCAACGTGAGCGTCCGCAACAGCAAGCAGAACCCGATGCAGGGAATCCAGCAGCCCGACAACTTCGTCCAGCAGTCTGTGGAGCCGACGGCGTACGAGGAGTGCAGCGACGTCAGCCTCTCTAACAGGGCCACCGCGTCCGCGGACCAGCACAACGCCATCCCGTATTTCATGGAGCCGACGGCGCACGAGGACAGCAGCGACGCGCCGAAGGATGAGTCCCAGGTGAGCGAGATAGTGCAGGTAGCCGTGCAGGCCACGGCAGTCCCCCCCTGGGAGTGCGACGACCCTGAAGATGACGAAGACATGAGGGCCCACAAGCGGCGCTTCCGCGCGAGGCTGAAGCGTAGCTGATGGGCGCGTTTTGGTTTTGGTCCCCTGGCCGTTGGGCCGCGCGTGGTGCGAAGATTGCCGCGCCTCCCCTGGGGCTCTCCTGGCGGCGCCTTGTGGCGCAGTGCAAGCACTCTTCAAGAGTAAATTGGCCTGGGGAGGGCCTGTCGCAGCGTGCGAGGGATGTCGCCCCCCTCGGCACGGCTGGCAAAATTTTGATGGCCCTCCCCAGGCACCCGTCCCCGCCCGAACGGACTACGTCCGATTGCTCCAGCTCCAGGAGGAGGAGGAGGAGGAGGAGGAGGAGGAGGAGGAGGAGGAGGAGGAGGAGGAGGGGGAGGAGGGGGGAGAGGAGGGGGAGGAGGAGGAGTAGGAGGAGGAGGAGGACGGGGAGGAGGGGGGGAGGAGGGGAGGAGGAGGAGGAGGAGGAGGAGGAGGAGGAGGAGGAGGAAGAGGAGGAGGAGGAGGAGGAGTTGGGGTGCTGGGGCCGCCCTGGGCCAACGGGGGGGGGGCTGCCTGTGCTCAGCCCGAGGCCTCACGAAGGTGAGATATTCGGTGACAGCTCCTGGGAGCCTCCCATTCCCTTGTCGGCCCTTGCGGGTCGACGTGACTCGACGATAAATCGACGCTGATGGACGCTGAATCAACGCCAATCGACGCTAGCCGCCGCTACAACGGCGCTTTCTCATCGACTCCAGGCGCCAATCGATGCCAATCGACGCTAAAGACGGAATTAAGAGGGTATACCATGGGACGCACAGGGACATACTAATACTGTATGTCTTCCTTATCGCCCCCGGGGGGGGCGAAGCACGTACAGGATAAGTATGGTGGGGCGACGCCGAAAACCTGTACGCCCCCCCCCAGGCGCCGACCGCAGCGGTTTCGTGCTGTCGGTGCCGGCAGACACTGCCGCCTGCAGCAACACCCAGGAAGAGGAAGAGGAGGAGGAGGAGGAGGAGGAGGAGGCAGAGACATAATCCCCTTCCCTCCTGCTCCTCCTGCTCCTCCTCCACCTCCTCCTGCTCCTCCTCCTCCACCTCCTCCTCTCTCAATAGACATAGTCGGGACTCCAGAGACGGGGTTCAATGCAGACGGGGGTTCAGTCAGAGCGTCGGATCTTGCAGGATCCTGCAGGGGCCAGCAGTGCACTGACCCAGGTCTTGGTGCAGGTTCCTGCAAAATCCTGCAGGATCTTGCAGGATTTTGCCAGGCCCAACTGACCCGGGTGGGATTTACCCGGGTCAGCGCGTCCCCGAGATAAGCAGTTTCGGGCCCGGGGGGGTGGGCGCATGCATCCATGCCAACCTCCTCCTGATTACTTGCGCGGGCTAGCTTGGCTGAGCGAAGAAAGCTATGCTTATATCCGCGCCAGCGTCTTGCATGCTTGCAAACCTGTAAACGTGCTAAGCTGCTGAGGCACACAATGATGATACATCTGCGCAAACAATTTACAACGGGTTAAAAACATATGCGACTGGCCTGATGCACTGCACGCTAACACATGAATGCTGAACCATGAACGAAGAAAAGAAACGGGTCCTATCCGCGGTGACTTGGAGACCTTACGCCGCGGCTTACGCGGGCCGCCAGAGCGGCACGCTACATGGAAACGAGGGCGCTGACACGCCAACGTCCGCGAATTAGTAGCCGCTTGTCTGCGTCGCTCACATGTTGTTGAACTTTGATTGCCCCCAAGTTGCACATACATCAAGAGTGGGATCTTGGCGTGATTTGCGCCACAGGCTTTGCGATCGTATACTCGTAGTCTTCTGTACACCTCCTTCGGGTGTTCCCAGGCTGCGAACGCAAGTCTCTGTCGTCCGGCTCTCGCCCCTCGAGACCCGGTTGCACCTGCCTGGCCCTCTGCACGCCTCTTATTCCTTCTCGCCGCCTTCCCCACTGCGGGTGCGTCCCTTGCGCTCGGGGGCTTCATCCTGCCTCTCGCACAAGGCGACCCGCGTCCACCTGTTGCCTTCATCCGCAGTGTCGGGTGGAATTTCCTCGCACGTGCCCCAGACAGCCTTTCGCGAAAACGGCCACTTTACCAGCGGAGTGAAAGCGTGCGAGTGCCACATTCAACATAGAATGTTTTCCATCGCGTGCGCGAGTCAAGATGCGTATCGAACCCGACTACCCTTAGGTCGTGTATGTCCCCCATACAGGCGGTTTTTTGGGCGAGACATTAAGAATATAAAAAAAAACTATACAAACATAGCGATAAATAGTCAAATCATTTTCGCCCGACTATTTGCTACTATGTTTTGATGTTCCTCCTGTAGAGGAACAGGCCCGACTTAAGACCACCCCCGTCACACAGGGCAGGACCCATATTCACAGGACCAAGATCACAGGGCCTGACGCCCAGGGGGGAGCCATGCACGAGAAGCTCGAGAGGGCTTTGGAATTAGGTTGGCCACGTCTTCCTGCAGGCAGATTTTGAAAGAAAAATGGAAAATAGCCAAAACAAATTCAAAGATGGTCAAACATAGTAAACAAATCGTCCACATACTATGTTTTCGGCTATTGTTTTATATTCCCTTTTGTAGAGGGACAGGCCCGACTTAACCCTGGTAGATGCTGGGAGGCCGCAGCCTTCGGGTTTTCGTGAAGGGGGGGCCACAAAGGCGGGGGGCGACGCAACGTGCACCTTCCATGAACATGGTGGGCCCACTGCAGCAAATCTACGGGCCATCTGGAGGCACTTCCTCACCACCTCCTCCCTGCAATCCTCGATCCCCTCGCGTGCTCTGCCCCCCTCCCCCGCTGCCGTCTCCGCACAGAGCCTGCAATTTGTTTGTTTGATTTGCGCGCGGATGATCGTCTGCCACACACTCCTGCCCGTGGCGCAGAAAAGACGAGCGAGGGGCCCGAAGGAGGGCCGAAAGAAGCGAGGGACGGACCAGGACCCGAACAGAGCCGAGCGAGGGACCGAACCCGAGCACACAGGGGCAACGAAAAATCGAAGGCCCGAAACACGCGATGCTGGCAAGACTGGCGAGACAATTTGAAGCCCGCGCCCTGGCTCCCGGGCTTCCAGCCTCAACCTCTGGCCAGGCAGCAGCATTACACAACAAGACAGACACAGCACGGCGGCGGAGAGCCCTTCCTCTCTTCGCGAGCCTGGGCTGGGGGGGGGGACAAAAGGAGCACATAAAAGATGAGTTGGCGCAGGCGGTGCGGGTGCCTGCTTCTCAGCGCATCTGCACCCACTCATCCTCAGCCTAGCCAACGAACCCTGACGAATCGGCACAGGCACTTCAGAGAGCAAAGCTAGAGAGGCGTGAAAGCATGCCGCCCCCCGCAGGCGGCGAAGAGAATTCTCTTTGCTCCTCTTTGCGAGCCTGGGCGGGGGAAAAGACACAGGCAGCACGCAAGGAGGATGAGTGGGCGCAGGCGGAACGGGTGCCTGCTTCTCAGCGCCTCTGCACCCACTCATCCTCAGCCTACTAGCCCCTGGCGCGTAGCCATAGGACATTTCGACTGTCCGACTGTCCGACTGTCAGAGAGAAAGCACAGACAGAGAGGCGTGCACAGAAAACCCCGCGCGGCGGGCGGGCAAGAGTCTTCTCTCTGTGCGAGCCTGGCCAGGGGGGGGAATAACAAAATCACTGACGGGATAAGTGGGCGCAGGCGGAACGGGTGCCTGCTTCTCAGCGCCTCTGTGCCCACTTATCCCAAGCCCACCCTACTTCCTGGAAGCTGTCCTCTGTAGCGACCAGGAAAGGGAGTACTGCAGAACAACACTTCTGGCGGCTGGTGTCAGGGATCCGAGTAGTCCTGCCAGCATCAGACAGACGAGACAAACCAGATATCCTAGGAAACATCCACCCCACCTCCGAAGTATAGCCCGAGAAATCTACGGTGCCTCTAAAAGCCACGCAGGATCAAACAGTGCCTGAAAATTAAAGACATCGTGAGGGGCAGGAAAAGCATATATAACGTTGACATTGTCAACCGCAGTGACCTCACCGACTGGTTGATCAGTGCGGGGGTCACGACCACCGCACATGCGTCGAAGCCGTGAGATGGTGCCAGAGGCCCGGGGAGGCCCAGTGCATGATTTAGTTAAATCAACTGCCTTCTTACACGAGTAGCGGCCACATCGTCGACAAAATATGGTATCATTTAGCCGCCTGAGCACGTGCCCACCGCCAGTGGGAGAAGAGCACTGCGAACGCAATAAGTAGCTCTTGGAGACTCGCCCAACAATTCACGCAACGAAAACGACCCGCTGAAGGGGTCCCAGAAATGCTCATGCAAGGCCCCAGAGGAGGCACCAGAGAGGACTAGGGATGGGGCCGTGGGGGCAGGGGACTCGTCAGAATCCGCCGCCCAAGCCTTTTTGGGCATTCTTAAAATTCCATGCTATACAATGACCGATATACACACCAAGATTGCGCACCAGCACACTAGAGCGTTTGATGCGGTCGTGCAGGACCGTGTCCAGAGTGTGTAGGTCTGCACCTAAGTTAGCAAGTCTGTCGGCTTGCTTATTACCCGCAGAGGAAGAGTGGCCACGAACCTTGGTGACCTTAATTAGGTGATACCCGATGTCTGAAGCCGCGCAGTGGACGCGGACCCACAAGGATGCGTGAGTGGCCCATCCGCGCGTGATAGCTTCATACCCCATTGCCCAACCGTCAACGACATACTGGGCATGAGTGACAAACTCATAGCAGCCGGAGGGGGCGGCATGGGTTAGATAAAATAAAAAAACGCGTAAAGCTCAGCCCCTGCGACATCCTGGGTGGGAAAGGGATATACGCCATAGGCACCAGCACTAAGCCGAAGCCGATCGTTGGCGATGGGCTCACCAAAAACATGTCGACTACGCGGGGCAAATGAGCAAACGCCCCATCCACAACGGAGAGTGAGCGGCGAGGGGCCATGCTTTCCCGAGCCGTCTCCGTACGCAGGCGATGAGAAAAAGGGGCCGTCTGCGGCCCCTTCCCAGACAGGGTCTGGGAAAGGTGGTGCAAGCAGGGAGCAATAGCGCGGGTCGGGAACCATGGCAGTGGTCCAGACAGGGTTCTCGCGGTACTGCTCTATGCAGCGGGTGAGGGCTGGAGTCGGGCCGAACCAACGACGAAACTCCACAAGCCCATCACGCGCATACAGGGTGTGAAACACGGGGTCAGAGGGGGCAACCTGGCAAATGGGGCACAGAGGTTTCAAGTATATGCCCCCAGATATAAAAGTCCTCAAAGCACGTTGCTGGAGGACACCCCATCCTTCAGTCTTTTTAGACAACAGGGAAAGAAGAGGGGGCAGGA